CCAGCTGTGCTGGCCTGCCTGCGGCTCATCGCCCTCGGAGAGTCGCTTTATCCGGTGCAGGCATAGCTGTGTTCCTTATCCGCACGCAGCGGGCGCTGCGTTGCTGGGCGTGGACCAAGCAACGCAAACTAATTTTTCTTGTCAGTGTGGGGTGATGGCCTGGTGCTGGCAGGGCAGGCGCTTGGTGGTCTAGTTCTTGCAGGCCCAACATGGCCTGCAGTGGTGGTGCGACTCACGCGCTATCTTCATAGCACTTGTGCTTCCTGCCTTTGTTCTGCACTTGTTGTCTGGTCACCGTTATTCCATCACAACCTGTAAATGTGAATAGAGCCCGTTTGCACAGCTCACACACAAAAAAATGCCTCATTCAGTTTAATCAAAAACAAAATAAAAAAATTAGGAAAACACTAGATGCATTGTGCCACAGAGAGGGAACAGAATTCCTTTCGTTCAACAGTTAAGGCACTTGTCAGGGGAGAGGGAAATCTGTGTTCTGGTGCAGTCTGCCCTGGTTCTTGAATGTTTGAATGGATGCTACAGTGAGTATTGAATGCAGCATGCGTGCTACGGTCCTTGAAGTGGGGCTTGGACCCAGCTCAACTTTTGCGGGCAGAAGTTCTGGTTTTATGACTAAAAGCTTATCTTCTCTTTTTCTGTTTCATATTTTTCATGAGATTGCCCAGCTGCAGTGGTTGTGAGGGTAGAAGTCAGGGTTTACCTTTCACTTCCTACCCCCTCAAAGCAACAAATTCCAAAGTGGTCATAGCAGTGTCTTCAGAGATGAAGATTTGAAACTCTGGGAGGCAAAGATCTCTGCCCTCTGTATCCTAGGTGCTATTAACATTTCTTTTTTTGTTGCCTAAGGAGACAACAATCCTTCCAGCCGTACTGCTGGTTAAAAGTGTTCCTAGCTGCTGTCAATGCCCCTTTTGGTATGAGCTACTGCATGTTACTCTGAGCATGTCTGCTAAGCCTGGGTTCTCCTGGGACACTAATGAAGATAGGCATAAATGGAGCTTTAATTCTTTTGGCCTGTACGTTTTAAGAAATTTTGAGGATTGCTAAAGAGCAAGGTACAAAAATCAACAAAACTAATTCTATTTTGGGTTATAAGTGCAGGGATCCTTCTCAAGTCCATGAGGCAGTCAAATCACTTGTATCATCTAAGATGGCAAAATTTGATCCAGACAGAGTATTTCTATGGTTTGCTTCATCTTTTATGTGATAACCTTTCAACGATTTCCTTTTCTGAGGCAGTCATCAACAGGTAACCACAATGTCTGGTTTTTTTTCTTTTTTACAATCAATTTAATTTTAGTTTCTGGTTTATATTATTAATTTATTTGGATCAATAAATATACAATGCAATGAATATATAATGCAGAAGTATATTTATTGTGTAACAGACCTGAGCGAATAGGAGGCTATTAAGTACCACTCTGTGTGGGCCGCCATATCTATCATGATCATCCTATGATGTAGTCAATAGACAATCAGTAGGGAGAAAGCGTGTGGTGATGAAAGTAGCAAAGTAGGACATAATCTGTGAAATAGTCAGCTTCACCACAGCTTCCTGTGTGACTTTGTGTAAACTGATCACTCTTTAAGACAAAGACTGTTATTTATCCTTTTTCTAAAGCTGTAAAAAAAATAAAAGTATGTTAGTATTGCTGAAGTACCTTGGAAATGTCAACAAGAGGATTTCAAAGCAGCATTCAGCATAGCTGTTGAACTGTCAGCGCTCTTTGATAAATGGAGTGAAATGACAACCTTTTGCTAGCTCGTGAATATTAGGAATGCCATTTTCAGGAGACGAGCCTTTCCAGTGACAGTCACATTCGTTAGTCTGCTGTGAACAATTCTTTGGTAATTTTCTAATATTGATCTTGACTGGCCACATTCCTAACAACAAGGGCTCTCCAGGTTGGCAGCCTCCTTGAGGAGGAACCCAAATGACACGTTGTTAGGTCCACAGTGTTTGTGGCTGACACCAAAAAGGGCCTTCCTTTGCTTTGTGCATCGCTGAGGCTGAGCTTCTCCAGCTGAGGAAGGCACCCACCATCTTATGGGGTCAACCAGAGCCAATACTAGACAGCTCTTTCCCATCATCAGATGGGCATTATTATGTATAAGCAGCAGACTTGTCCCACAAGGGTCATTCCACCCTTTCCCAGCAGTGCTGGATTTGCTGTACATGTGCAGACCATATGTACAACATATGTTCACAAGGTCCATTGTTCCCCGGAAGCGCCATATTTTCTGATGCACATGCGCTTAACAGGAACACTGACACAGACACCTGTAAGAAGCTTGCTGCTTCTGTGCCCACAGCCTGTTGCTGCAGAGATCTGAGCAACAGCTGGGAGAAGGGTGGGTAGGAGCAGGCTGCTGCTATCAGAGAGGTTCATATGGCCTCTCTTGGCTTCCCACACGCTCTTGAAACCAAGGTAAGGGAGCCCAAAGCTCTCGTGGCAGCACTTGATACGTGATGAGACACAACAGAACAACAGAAGATTTGGGTGGTTGAGAGTATGTGACTCTGCCAGCTATTGGCTAGCACAGTCACAAAGCGCTAAAAGCCGAGAGGTGCATTTTGTACGTTTTTTTTTAATCTTAGTGGGAGGAAAACCGTGCCCTTTAACATCAAGAGTTGGCTGCGGGCATTATGGAAAATGTGTTCTTGCAAGGTATAGGGTGCTGTGGTACTGAAATGATGAGTTTGGTTAAAAATATCTGTAAGGCAGAGCTGACTATGATAAAGTCTGCTCAGCTATTAAAGCCCTGCCAGAAAGAAACAAACAAAAAAATCCATTCTGCATGTCAAGAGTGGGCTATTACTGAAATCAGTGAGGCACAGTTGAGCCTGTAGGAGATACATGCATAGATAACAGGATGCTTAGGGGGATGTATTGTCACAGGGCATTTCTGATCTTGAGTTAGATTTATTCTATGATAATTTGTTATCTCGTGCTCAGACAGTTCATAGGGAAACATTTTTATGGCGAACCGCACTTCACTCATAATCATCAATCAACTGCACTCACTTCATAGTCATTTTGTGGTCTAGATCATAAGCTACAGCTAGCTTACTAGTTTATTACTGGTAGAAATATTTTGTAACCTAATAAATATAAGTTTGAATGCAACTTCCTCACCGATGTTACAGAAGAAAGAAACAGAAACCGGTGTTGATACAATCTGTTAAAATTGAAGCTCTGTGTCCAGCACACAGGCAACCAAACAGAGGGATGTACTCCTGTGGTCATCAACGTCAGTACGAAAACATATGTGTGATGGAGGAAACTAAGCCATGCAGGCTCCACTGAATTTATTTCAGTTGGCTGACAGACAAAGGAGAAATAATTTGCTTGTTTCTTCCCACGTCAACTCTGGAATAGGATAAAAGAAGCAAACACAATATTTTGTCTTGTTTGAAAAGCGTAGAAACATAGGTTCAGGAAGGAAGGGCCATTGGGAGTCCCGTGGTTCATTGTACAGCCCCAAGGCAGGATCAGTTTGGGTTTGGGGTTTTGTTTTTAATATGCCACTTCTAACGCAGTATCTCCCATACCTTTTCTGTTTTCATCATTAGATACCTTTTCCTCGTGTCTGTCTTGTTGCAGACCTGTGACTGCTGCCCTGCCTGCTGTGGCCACACATCACAGATCATTCATTTCCTGTTTTCAGAAGCCTTTCACATTTCTGAAGGCTGTTGTTATGTCGCCATCAGACTTCCTTTTGTCAAACCACGTAACACCATCCTCCTTCACAAAGCATGTTTTTTGTCCCCTTCCTAACTTTTCCCAGCACTGGATACAGCTCTCCCCGAGGCCTTACTAGTGCCAAATAGCAGGAAGGGTCATTCTATGTGTTTTGTGGACTAGAGTGCAGTTTGGGTATTCTGTGTGGCATTTGCCTCACGCAGCACTGAGACATTTACTCATTTACAGTTTGTGACCCACTCTAAGCCCCACACTTGCCTCCTTTTGCTTAGACCAGTTTTCCTCAAGTTGTCTGTGACAGTATCTTGTAAGGTATTATGAAAAAAATCTTACTAAAGTCAAACTATAACTTACCACTTCTGCCTTGTGCACAAAGTTCATTGATGCTCACTGAAAGAGATTAAATCTTTTTTAATATTCTGCACCTGAGTGATAGTTTTTTC